GCTGTCACCATCATCCATCCTTGTGTCCCCTCCCCATCTTTTTGCTTTGATCCCTGGCACCAGTGCTGCTGTGGATGAGGGTTGCTCACCATGGGGGCACGCATGGGGGGGCTGGAAGGGGCTGTCCCCCTCCTGGGGCTGCCCTCCCCTGCACCAGAGCAGAATAACAATGAGAATTGCTCCGGCTCTCGCTGTAAATGAAATCACTGCAACAGCCTGGTCTCTCCGCAGGAGACAGTGCTCTGGGCATGATCCCACGAGTATCTGAATCCATGGGAATATCACCACTTATTTTAATGGCAGGAGGGCAGCTGGCCAGCTTTTCAGGCAAGTGCATCTCGTTGGAGAGCACGTAGCTCCTTCAAAGGCCCGGCCAGGGTGTTGTGTTGGGAGCCGGGCAGTCCTGAGTGCTTCTGGAAAACCAGCTCATCTCCAGCTTCCTAACTGGGATCTGGGTGACGGGGCTGCACTTGCCCGTGCCAAGCCCTTCGCAGCAGCACCCTCCTTCCCCGGGACTGGTATTTCACTATTCCAAGCAAGCAACACAAATCAACCCTTAGGGAAGACGAGGCTGGAAAGGGCTGTGCTTTGCTTTTTGGTGCTCAGAGGGGCAGGCGGAGCTGCAGAGAGCCCTCCCCGCAGCCAGACCCCCCGCTTTGTGTGCAGGGATCGGGGTCCCCTCATGGGCTGGGTGCTCTCGCAGCCCCGCGTGCTGGCAGGTGTACTCCCTAACCGCTCCGGTGACCGATTATCTCGCAGTCATTACCGTGATGGATCGGAGCAGTTAATGTGTCAATGGCCATTACTAGGGGGCTGTGTTTTCTCTGGATTAATGAATCGACACACCACGATGGGCTCCTCGGAGCTGCTGGGGCCTGGTGGGGGTGGTGGTTTGATAGCGAAAAGAGGCGCTGCAAGAGCCGTGCACTGCAGGCACATGTGCGAAGCAGGGTGTTGGCATAATTTTACGGGAGGCTGAAGAGAAGGGCAAGGGCTTGGGGTGCTGAGCCTCCTCCCTCATCGCTGCCCCGAGGAGCTGCTCCCACCATGGGGAGGGGAAATTTGGGGATGGCTGCTTGTGCACGCTGTGGGAGCTGGAGCCTCGCAGCAGCCTGGCGTGGGGCACCCTTCCTGTGCCCCCTCCATGTCCCCCGCTCTTGCAGGGCTTGGCAAAGGCTGGTGCATTTGCACCCGTGGGAGCTGTCGTGGGCCTGCGCTTCTGCAAGTGCTGAAATTAGAGGATATGATCTGCAGGAAGGTCTTTCGTACCGCGGGGTCTGGAGGTTCCGTCAGTCCTGCTGCCATGCTTATGGCCGCGATGTATGTGATGGGCAGGGGGAGAAGGACAAGTACAAGCAAAATCCATCGGGATGCAAAGACCCGGGGAGGGGAGAGGTGCTGGGGGCAGCAGGGCATGAGAGGGGCCATGTCCATCCCCCTTCCCAGCGCTTTTCCAGCCCGTCGCGCCCGGCGCTGCTGGGCGGAGGGGTCTGGCGGGGCTGCGGCGGTTCCCCCCTCCTCGGGGAGCCGGGGATGGGGGGGGGGTCCCCCGCCGCCGTGCGCTAGTGCTTTAAAAGGCTGGCAGAGCCGGCGGCGGGCTTCCCAGCGCCTCTTCATGCAAAACTTCCCCGGCCCCGGCCCTCCTCCTCCTCCTCTTCCTCCTCCTTCTCCTCCACCTCCTCCTCCTCCTCCTCCTCCTCCTCGTCGCGGCTGCGGAGCGCGGCGGGTCCCGCCCGGCTGCGGCTCGCTCGGCTCCCCGGGCCGGGGCCGGGGCTGGGGGGGGTGCCGCGCCGCGGGCTGCCCCCGCCGCATGCCGCAGGGCCCCCCCGGGCTGCCCGGGCCCCCCCGGGGCCGGAGCCGGATCGCGGCACCGGGCAGCGGCCGCGGGCGGAGACGGGGTCGGCGGCGTCGCCAACTTTGCGCTGCCCGCGGGTAAGTGCGGGGCGGCGCGGGAGGGGCGCGGAGCATCCCCGGGACGCCCGGTCCCCCCAGACCTTCCCCGGGGGGCTGGGGTACCCCCTTCTCCTTGCAGCCTCGCTGCTACCCTGCAACGCCCCAGCGAATTTTCTGCCTTTCCTTCTTATTTTTTTAGGGGGGGGGGGGGGGGGGCGGGCTGCGACAGCGGGGGCTGCAGTAGAGAGCCCCCCCGCTCCCCAAGCCCCAGCCTGTCTCCCACCTCCCCCAACCCCACCGGCTGCTCCCCGCCTCTCCCACTCGTGGCATTATTCACAGTTGTGGGGCTGCGGAGCGCTGCCCGTCGCCTCCCTGCAGCACCACCCGCATCCCGATGCATCCTGCCGTGGGGTGCACGGGACCCCCCTCCCCCGCCCCAATCCCCAAACCTGTCACCTTTGTCCCCAGAGGTGCCCATCACCCCGGAGTGGGCTATGGGAAGGGAGCTGGGTGTGTGTGTGTGTGTGTGTGTGGGGTGTGGGCTCATCTGACTGGAGGGGACTGGGAAAAGGGGGTTTGGGGCAGGGGCTGGCGGCTGTGGCTGAGCTGCAGGCGGGTGGCTGCCCTTGCCTCGCCGCAGCGGCCAGGGCCCGCGGAGCCCGCCGCAGGGCAGGGCAGGGGGGAGAGAGCCGGTGTTTTGCCCAGGTCAGTGGGGAAGGGGCTGCCCCTCCGAGCTTGGAGGGGTTTTGGGGGTTAAGACCCTTCCCCAGAGCCGGAACGACCCCACGGAGGCATCTCTGGTTTGGGGCAAGGAGCCCCGCTCTGGGTGCAGACACACGCTCCCAGGTTTGTTTTCCTCTCTGGAGCATTCTCCCGCTTCTCGGTGCTTTTTTGGGAGAGCGGATCTGCGTGGCTTCGGGAGCCGCTGGGGAAGTTGGCAGCCGTGGGAAAAAAACAGAGAACTCTCCCACCGCCTGCCCGGGCGCAGCCCCGTCACCCTCCTCCTCCTCCTCCTCCTCCTGGTGTGATGAGTTTTCCGTGCTCTGCCAGCCGGGTTATTTTTCTGTGGGCTGCTTCTGGCTTTGAGGGGGGGGATGCCTGCTGCCTTCAGCGGCGGCTGCGACGGAGAAGCTGCGGAGTGAGTCATTGCCATCGCTGCTGCTGGGTGACCTGTGGCTCGGGGCTTGTCGGGGGGATGGCACGAAGCGGGGCTGGGGTGACCGGAGGAGCTCAGCAGCGCTGGCTGCTCAGGGAGGGAGGGAACTGAGCTGATCTGTTGAATGCAGCGAGGAGCTCAGGAAAATGCCAAGAGAAGTGTCAAAAGAAAAAAAAAAAAAAAAAAAAAAAAAAGCTCATTTCCTTCCCTCCCTTCGCTCTCTGTAAGCAGGGATTTATCTGCACCGGGGTGGGGGAATGTGCTGGACACAGCTCCGGCTTGGGGGAGAACCGGGGTGAGACCCTCCTCCCTGTGACCTGCCGCCCCCGTGCTGAGAGCCACGGTCCGATGGGATGTGCAGAGATTTTGGCTGCTTCTGGCCAGCGTGGCCGAGCAGGGGGGCTGCGGTGCTGGGTGGCTGCGGCGAGGATGGTGGGTCCCTGTGGGCAGGGCTGGGCCCAGGATGGGGGGGGGGGGGGGGCCCAGGCAAGGCTGTTTTGGGGAGGGCAGCTGGCGCTGTGCTGGTGGTGCTGGGCTGCACCCCCCGGGGTGTCGGGGCAGCCGAAGGGGAGATTCAAATGGATTTTACAGCGGGAACTGGAGCTTGGGTGCAGCCGTGGCCCGGCCCCCCATCCTGGGGGCCAGCATTGCCCTGCGGAGGAGCCTGCCGGCTCCCCAAAAAAGAGCGTCACGTGCTTCAACTTTGGCATCAGGCAGGAGGAGGATGGATTTGTCAGCTCAGCCACCCCCTTCCAGCTCTTCCCAGAAAGGCAACGGCTTGAAGATGTGGCAGGTCCTAATTATAACAGACACGAACCTGCTCCCGCCACCCTCCCCGGCTTTGCGCCCGCTGCGGGCACCGTCTCTTCCTCTCGGGCTTCGTGGCTAACGGAGGGGTTTCCTCTGCAGGGTGGTCTGCTTCCCCGGGCCCCTGTGCTGTGGAGGGTCCTGCACAAAGCCCGGCTCAGGCTGGGGGTCTCTGTCCCCGACGGGGCTTTCCTGGGCTGGGTACGGGCAGGGGCTTGTGCTGCCAGACCGCTGTCTCGGGGCGCAGGGGCGGTGGGGACCGGCAGTCAGGCCGTGCTCTCACTCCCAGCCAGCGCCGTCCCAATTTGCAGAAGGTGATCAAAAATTAATTGCGGGATTTTGCCGCACATGGCAGGAGCGGGGATGAGTGCCGGCTCCATCCCTCCCTCCGGCCTTTCCCGGCTGGAGCTTGGTGTGTGTTGGCTGCCGGCGGAGACCCCGCGCTGCCTCCCACAAGCTGAGCCGCTGCCATTGCCGCTTGCTCCGCGGCCGGATCCTGCTCGCCTCCCCCTCGCCGCACCAACCAATCCTTCAAAGTGAGGGATTAGCCCTGGCCTGCTTGGCAGTAGGAAGGGAGGGGGAAGGAGAGAGCTTGCCTACAGTTAAGGATATATATATATACAGCATGATAAATATTCCCTGGGTCTCATCCGTGCCCAGTGGGAGCATTTTTCTTTGGACTTCAGCATCCTTTGGAGGATGCTCTGGGGCAGTGAGGAAGGTGGTGGTACCCGGCTTTCCCCCTCCGTGGGGGTCTGAGCCAGGCGCTGGCAGGACCCGGTTGCAGAGAGGTTGAGTTAACACCCTGGTTTTGGTTTATGCAAGCATTATGATATCGGTTTGTTCATTGATTGAGGGATTGCTTGGCTGGGGCTGCGTCTTGGAGCGTGTTGTGTGGGTTTTGATGGTAAAATCTGGGGTTTCTGCTCGCCGCTGCCTGCTGAGCCGTGGCCTTGCTTTTCCTCTGAGCGAACGCTGGGGTACTTGACCTGAATACTTAAGGTTTTGCATGTTGAGAGATAACTTAACCTGGCATCCCCTCCCTCTGTGTCTAAATTCTGCTGTACTTCACGGAGCTTTTGCAATTAAAAAACCCAGGAGCTAAAGTGAAGTTTCCTGTAATCTCTTGCAAGCGGGGAAGAGCGAGCGTGCGCTAATTGGGATATTGTGCTGCGTGCCGGCTGGCCCCGCTTGCTGAAGGAATAGCAGGTGGGGAAAGAAACGGCCTTGATTTTCAAAAAGATGCCAGCGAGCTCACGGCAGCCAGTGTGGCAGAAGCCGGCACAGCCCTCCCAGTGCCGGGGCTGGGCTGGGGAGATCACCTTGACGGCAGGCTGATGGGCAGCCAGGGATGGGGTCGTGCAGGTGAGTGTTGGGGGCAGGCTCTTGGCCGCTTATTCCTGCATCCCCTGGTCCACGTCACCAGCTCAACCTTTTCCTGCTTTAACAAGCCCCGATGCAACGGGGTGGGCTCAGCACAAAACCAGTGAGTGCCCTGGCACTGAATTGGGAGCCAACAAGTCCTGCACAGCCAAAGGATTCTGGTCCTGCTGCAGGCAGAGCTCTGCGGTCCGTGGGAGCGGGGTCGGCTCGGAGAGGGGTGGGATGCTCGGCTTTGCCCTGCGATAAGCCCTGGCTGGGATGCGAATAACTCACCTCTCGGCTTTGCCCGCTGCCAGCGGCGATAAAGCTGCGGTGATTAGCGCTTAGCCGGCGCTTGGGTTGATGGCATATGAGATGTGAACTCGTCTGCCTGCAGTGGTGTGGGCTCCATGGAGCTAATGGCAGTAAAATGACTTGGTTTTGACTGGGAATCTTGTAGGGAGCAGAGCGAGGGAGAGAAATGGGCCGTTTCTTTCCTTATTTTTTTATTTCCCCCCCGAAGGAGCTTTTTCATTGCTGCAAAGCCTCTGTGTTGAGGGGCAGGTCTGGGGGGCAAAGAGCCCCCCTGTGCTGTGCAGCTATGATGGGCCAGGTCTGCTCTGTCCTGGGGTTGGGGGTCAGGCTGAGAGACCGCTCTCTTGGGGTCGGTCGATGCGATTTGGGAGTCCCTCTGGGCTGTCTGCTCCCGGGGCTGCAGCAGCACCAGGCTGGGGAGAGGAAATTTTGCAAAGAAAACCCATGCGATACGTGTGGGGAGGGGATGCAGCTGCCTCTCCTGGAGATGCACCAGCCCCAGGGAGAAAATGGGAGCCCTTCCCCTGGCTCCGAAGCCCCAGGGTGCAGACCCCAGCATATATCTGGAGGCAGCTGGCAGGGATGCAGCTGGGGATGTGTCCCAGCACCCGTGAACATCTCTGGGCTCTGCGGAACACGGCGAGCCCGGGTTGTGTCTCACTGCGGCCCAGTGGGCACCGGTGCAGCCCCGGCCGGTGTGGCGCTTGCAGGGATGCACGGAAGGTTCTGCAGGAAGGAACTGCAGAGGTGAAGCCCGGGATGGCCAGTCCTTGCCTCCAGGACACGGTCTCACCTCCGGGCACTGGAAACGGTTTTGCAGCAGGAGCTCTGCGTGCCGCAAGGGAATTTTTAATCAGTGTTTGATTTCTCCTGCCCAGCTGAGCCCTCGCCCGGCCCCATCCAGGGACCTTCATGGATGGCGAGGCTGGTGCTGGCCGGTGGCTCGGTGGCATGGCCACCACTAGAGGGGAGCAGGATGCCACCGTGAGGGACCAGCCCCGTGCCCAGGGGTGCTGGGGATCCGCAGGGCAGGGGCTCAGCCGAGCACTGCCGGTGACCCCCTTGGCTCTCCACTTCTGCAGCTCCTGACCTCCGTGAGATCAGTCTGGCTCAGGCCGGGCAACGGTCTGGAGATCCGCTCAGTTTGATTAGTCCTTGCGTTGCTTTCCAGATGGTGGATCCGTCTGTTTCACGGCCGGGATGAGGGCGAGGGAAAGGCCCGTTCCTCACTGACGACGTGCTTGTGGGAAGTGGGAGGAAGCAGCATTGCTCCTTCCTTTGCCGCTGTGATAAACGCCACGCTGGGTGCTTATCCCACCCCATTTATTACCACCCTCAGGGGTGCAGACCTGCACCTGATTTGTTGCAAATCTACAAATATTTCTTCTCCCGGGGTGGTGGTGCTCCCGTGGAGCTGTGCAGATGGGGCAGGAGGGCAGCTCCATCCTCTCACTCCCCGTAGCACGTGGGTAGGGCTGTTCCCTGCACCATCAGCACCCGCTGTAGGCAGGTATCTCCGTCCAGATGTGCCTCTCCCTCCAGATGTGTGGGACCAGCCTTATGGTGGAACGGCTGCTTTGGGGATGTGCAGGAGCTGGGCTGCTTGGGGATGCAGAGCCTGGTCCCACACCTTGGAGGAAGGATGGGTTTCCTCCTTCTTGCTTTTGAGCTTTAAGGCCTGGGCTCCTGCCTGCTCACCCCTCTCCGAGCAGCACCCCAGGGCTGGGTGCACCCCTGGCACGGGTGGGATCAAGGTTTGGGCTGTGCGGGGAGCAGCAGCTTGCATGGGGTGCTTGGGGCAGGTGGAGGGGGGACAGGGGAAAGGGGATGCTCGACTCCCACCCCTTCCCAACGAGCGTTCAGGTCATTTACAGCACAGGCTCATCGGGTAATTCAGGCTGCGTCTCCCCTAATGATTCAGTGAGGGATTCAAACCAGCTCCCCCCTCCCCTCCCCATTATTTGCGCTTTCTTCTTGCCTGCCGTGATATTTTTACCTTCAGTTCGTTCAGATTATATGATCAAAGGAGGCACAAAGGGGAGACAACAGAGAGGAAAAAGCTTAAAAGAAGAAAGGGAGAGGCTGTGGGCTCTGGGGGCACTGACAGCTCTGTGGGAGCTGCCGTGGGTTCGGAGGATTTTCCTGGGAGAGAGTCCACATGGTGACCATTGCACCTTCTCTGACGGGCAGAAATGTCGCAGCTCCAGGGGTGAGGGTGCGAGAAATGACCCGATTTCAGCTGGTGCGGGGCTGCGTGCAGGAGGCTGCGGTGTTTGAGCATCTCTGGGTCTCCCCATCATCTGCCTCCTCGCCACAGGCAGAGCCTGACCCGCTTCCAGGCTGTAGCAGGAGCTGCTTTTCCCTGCTCCACTCCCGCTGCCGACGCATGGGATGATTCCTTCAAAGGAGACGGGACCATGCAGAGGGTTGATCCCTGTCTTTGATCCCCATCCGAGTGGGGCCGCGCTCGCGGGGGCTTTCCCGGCAGCGGGCGGGCGGGTGTTGTGCCGCAGCATTCCCAAGCTCCTGCCTTTTGAAGCAAATAGCTCAGCACTGGGAAATTCTGGTTGCTTAAAAGCCCCGGCTGTCAGAAACGTTTTGGAGATGGGCCTTCAAGTTGCTCCGACGGGCAGGGATGCACATAATTTATGGAGGTGAGTTGAGGCAGGGGTCATCCTGGCTGGGGCAGCTGCGGAGCTGGGAATTTCCTTCGTGGTGTAAAGGGGTTCGGCACAGGTGGCTCCAGCGAGCAGCACCCCTTGGGGCCGGCTGAGGATCTGGCCCGTCAGGCGCAGGCTCGGATGCTGAGCTCTGTGCTTGAGCTGAGATTAATTTAAGCTGTTTCTTTGGTCTCGCTGTTGCAGCCCGTCCTGCTTGGGGAATGCATTTGCCTGCTCGGCTCTCGTCTGTTTTTGGTGCCTTGCATTAATCATGCGCTGCCCTTGCAGCATCCATCAGCGGCTGCTTGGAGACAGCAGGGATGGGCTGCAGGGGAGAGCCTTTCCCCAGAGGGGAAACTGAGGCAGGGGGCTGTGCTCCTTGGGCAGAGGCAGCTCTGGGGTGTGGGGAGGGGGATGAAGGGCTGTCCTGCCACCATCTCAGAGCCAAGACTGTGGCAGCACCCTGTGCCCACTCGGAGGGCTCTGTGGTGAAAGCAAAAGAGACAAGGTGAGGGCACAGGGGGGTGTGGGAGGATGGTGAGAGGTAGGACCCCTCCCTGGGATCCCCCCCAGCTGTGGGCAGGAGGCTCCTGAGAGGGTGTGGGGCTGGGATGGAGGGGCTGGGATGGGCTGAGCCGTCTCTGCCAGCTCCAGCCCTGGCTCTGGAGGAGCTGGCACCTCTGAGATATGGTGTGGGCAGCGGTGCGCTGGGGCAGCGGGGTGGGATGGCAGTTAGCAAGAGGGTTTTTCTTCCACCTGGTGAAAGGACCAAATCTCAGCCCATGCTGTTCGATGGTTAATCAGGATGCCACGCTGCAGGGCAAGGCTGATCTTCGATTGCTGCTTCCCAGGGCAGAGCAGCCGATGATGCTGAAAAACACTCCCCACAAGCTGTGCTTGGCGCCAGGGCTGCCGATGCCCGGGGACCCTCGGGGAGGTGTTGGGATGCGGGTTGGGATGCAGCGTGTGTCCGTGGGCACAGCCTGAGGGCATCGCCCGGGCACTGCACCCACTGCCTTCACCACCAGTTTTGCCCCCAGTTTCCCAAGGGACCATTTGCTCCTTCCTTCCTCCCCCCTGGGCACCCAGCTTGGAGTCTGATGGCTTTTCCAGCCCGATGCTCTCAGCACACAGCTGACCATCCATTCTGGCCACTGTTAATTTGAGTGAACCCTTGGGTTGCTTGCCTGGGGCAGCCAGAAAGCCAATCTCCCAGCACAGCTCAGGTGCTGTTGATTTTTGTTGCTGGAAGCCATCAATAACGGATGCTTGCAAGAAAGCAGCTCTGGTTCCAAAATCAGTGGCCTGAAGGAAGAGCGGCAGGAGCAGCAATGCTTAGGGTAGCGATTCGGATCCATAGCACTGGGTTTTGGCAGCGCCTGGCCGCGTCGGCTCTCGCTTAAGGCACAGATCAGCTCCCAGCCTGCTCGGTTTGCAGCGCGGTGCTCGAGACGTGGGGACTCGTAGCAGGCGACTGAAAAGCCAGTTGAGAAACAGCCCCCCCAGCTCCTTGGGCACCTCCTTTGCTTCAGCTCGGCGGTGCAGGGAATGGGGGACGGCTGGTGGCTTTGACCCCCGCTGAGGGCATGTGCCTGGCAGATGTGGGATGAGGCTTGGGAAGATCTTCAGCCTCAGCTTGTTTTTCTGGAGGCAGGAGCTTGTGTCTGGCTGGGCCATCGAAGGGGACAAGGAAAGGGGGGTGGGTGCAGCAGGAGAGGAGGGGACTTGCCACTTGATAGAGGGGCAGTTTAAAGAGCAGGTTTCTCCTCAAATCAGCTCAGGGTGTAAATCAAGCTCGGTTTTACGGCAGCTGCTTGGCTCCCATGCCCAGCTGTGCTCTGGAACAGGAGGGATGCTCTAGGGCAGGCAGGGAGCACGGCTGTGGGTGCATGTGGGGTTTTCCCCACTCTGAGCACTGTCTTGGGGCCTGTCCCACCCTGGCAGCAACCTGAAGTGGGGATGGGATGCTGTCCCAGGGCTTCCCTCCAGCCCCGAGCTGGCCACCGACCTGGTCCTGCTCCTTGGGGCAGAGCAAGCCCGGGGCCCCTGTACCAGCCCTTCTGCCCAGATGCAGTTTGGGCTGAGCCAAAGCTGTCAGCATGAATCAAAAATCAGGTGAATCCCAAATCTATATTTTTGCAATAACCCCCAGTGCTATCTTCTGCTGGACCCCTGGGTGAAAGCTTGGAATAGCTGATGTCCTCTTTATGCTCCTGCTTAATTTTCTCTTTCTCTCCCTCCCTCCTGTCCGCCCTCCCCACCCCAAGGGCTCCAGAGGAAGGACCCGAAGCTTTGCTTGGGCTCACATCTTCACTGCTGCCTCTTCTCCCCGACGTAGCCATGCAGACCCCGGCACCCTCCTGCAGCCCGGCCGCCCGTTGCTCCCCGGGGACCGGCGTCACCGGCGGGAGCCGCTGACGGTGCCACGAGCGGGATCCCGCCGGGAGCGATGCCGCCCGCCCGCGCCAGCCTCGCTCCCTGACTGCTGCCGGGTTTCGGGCCGCAAGCTCTGCCCCAGCACGGCTTTGGCGATGAGCGGGGGTTATTTTTGCATGGAGCGTCTCTCCTTCTGCCTCCTCCTGAGTGCCTGGAGCTGGGGGTGGGCGCCCGGGGGTGCCGCCAAGCCCAAGGGCCAAGGCTACCCGCACATGAACTCCATCCGCATCGACGGGGACATCACGCTCGGGGGGCTCTTCCCCGTGCACGGCCGGGGCGCGGAGGGCAAAGCCTGCGGGGAGCTGAAGAAGGAGAAGGGCATCCATCGCCTGGAGGCCATGCTCTTCGCCCTGGACCGCATCAACAACGACCCCGACCTGCTCCCCAACATCACCCTGGGCGCCCGCATCCTGGACACGTGCTCGCGGGACACGCACGCCTTGGAGCAGTCGCTGACCTTCGTGCAAGCCCTCATCGAAAAGGACAGCACGGAGGTGCGCTGCGTCAACGGCGGCCCCCCCATCATCACCAAACCAGAGCGGGTGGTCGGCGTCATCGGCGCCTCGGGCAGCTCCGTCTCCATCATGGTGGCCAACATCCTGCGGCTCTTCAAGGTAGGGCTTGGCGAGGGTGAAAATAACCACTCGGTGAAACCAGCGTGGGTGTTTTTGCAGTGTTTCTCCATGCGTGCCTCTTCCTCCATGGCCGAGGGGTAGGAAGGAGACAGTGTCCTTTAAAACTCCTCTCCTGCCTCCCCTAGGTCCCCGGGGATCCCTTCCTCCATCCCGCTCCAGTTATGATACTTTTAGCAGGAGGATTTTTGTCTCTTCTTCCCCAGCTTCGTGGTGAGGGGGGAATGCTGAAGCCCGTGGTGTCAGCGGGGCTGTGGGAGGGAGGTCACCTTGCAGGGGATGGGTGGGGAGATGGGCTGAGGATGAGTGTGGGGTGGGATAACTCAGGCTGGAAGGGACTGTGGAAGGCTCAGCCCACCACCTGTGCCCACTGGGGCCATCTCTGGTGTCAGACTGGGTTGCTCAGGGCTTGGTTGTGGTGGATCTTGAAAACCTCCAAGGCTGGAGAGGGTCCAGCCTCCCTGGGAGCTCCCCGAGGTTTTCTGGGGTGCAGCCCTTGCCCCCCTTCCTTGCTGTTACTTGAGGAGGCTTGGCTGGTCTGCAGGAGCAGTGTCACCCTGGGGGGGTCATCCCAGTAGGACCCTGCCTGCCCTGCTCAGCACCCAGGGTGTAAGATACCCTTTGCCAACATAAAAGATACGCTGGGCACCTCCCTGCTTGTGGCTGTCACCCATAGACTGACTTTCTCAACTTGCCTGCAAGCAGCTGGTTGTTGGGAGCATTTCAATATAGACCACCCTGGCACTGGTTATGGGGGATGGCTCGGTAAGGGGGTGTGGGTTATACCCCCAAAATACCAGGTCACCACTGCAGCCAGATGGCTGGGGAGCTGCGGGGTTGCTGTGCTCACTGCTGGGGTGGAGGCAGCTATTGCCGACGGGGCGCAAGGACGGCTCTGACCGCTCTCTCCCCCAGCCCAGGGGACATCAGCCAAGCTGGGGACACTTGTCCTGTGCCACCGGCCCTGGGTGTGCAGGAGGGAACAGGGTGCTCAGGGCTGCGGTGGGACGAGGGCTGACTCTCCCTCCCACTCTCTGTGCCAGCTGCGGGAAAGCCGAGGAGTTCATAATTACTTTCCCCCTTGCTGTGCACTTATTTATCCTCAGTAACATCCCAGGGCTAGAGAGGGTGTTTGAACAAGAGCCCCCTCCGCAGCAAAAAGCAGGAATTAATGGAAATACTTTGCACACCCAGCAGCGGTGGGAGCCCTGTGCTGCCCCCAGAGCGGGGTCCCAGCTTTGCCTTCCCTCCCAGCCCCCCGAAGCCTCTCGGTTCTGTAGGGCTGATGTTATTTTCCTTTTTTTCTTTCCCTGCTCCTCTTCTTCTGCCAGCCCGGCATGCTGAGAGCGCCAGGTACCCTCCTGGGAGGGCTGGAAGCTGTTAGTGAAGACAGAAAAAACAGATCGCTGATGGAGTTTGATTTTTCTGGGTCCCTCTTTTTAAAACGTGTTAATGTTCCGGGCAATGAGTGAGAGGGCTATTCAATAATTAAAATAATATAAATTAGAGGGAGCAGGAGGAACTTAAAAGCTATTTGCCGAGACAAAAAAGATTGAATGCTTGCCTTGGAGAGGAGGAGGGGGGCAGGCAGCAGGAGAGGAGGCAGGGGAGTGACAGTCGGAGGAGTGGGGGGTACCTACATCCTTTCTAGGTTATTTTTTTCCCCTCCTTCTCATCCAATTTTGATTCTTGGGCAAGGCAGCTGTGACCTGTGCATGGGTGCTCAGGCACACCCATGCCCCAGCCTTGCTCCCAGGCACTGGTGCTGCTGGTGGCCCAGCGAGGGCATGTCTGAGGCCCTGGGTGTCCCCAGCAGCTTTAAAATACAGAATTGATCTCAGCCCAACGTGACAGGGAGGAGGCGGGTAGAGGGTGGAGACCTCAAAACCCCCAGGAGGGGAGGATGTGGGACGAGCTCAACCCTTCCTAGACAGCAGCGGATCCCTGTGTGTGGGTGATGGGGTGTGCGTGCGAGTGGGTGTGCTCCCAGTGGTCCCCAGCACATGGACATCATTCCCATGGGACGTCTCACCCCGCCTCACTGGGCAGAGCCGTGTTCCTGCAGCAGCAGGGGCTCGGGGGGCTCCGGGGGCTCTTCTCTCCTCCCCAGCCATGACCTGAGAGCTGCTGCTGCTCTTTGTTATTCAAATAGTGGGTTTATGGCAGGGACATGCTTAAAATGAAAATAAGGCAACTTCCATTTCACGCTGCCGCTGACCTTTAAGCGTGGGTGACTCCGCTCTGAGGTTCAGCAAAGCGTTTGCCTTCCCGCTGCGCCGCGGTTGCCTTTGCCCCTTCCCTCGGGAACGACACTTGCCGGAGCTCTGGCTCCTGCCGCAGCATCACGGCACAAGGCGACTACTGCTCACGTTCCCCCTCGGCATTCCCCCAGCGAGGGGGTGCTGGGACCCAAAACAAGGGGACCCTCTCCCGATGCTGGGGGAAGCACCGGGGCTGTCTGCCCTGGATGGGGCTTGGAGCCCCCTCCCCGTGGGCAGCTGGAGGGAGGGAAGCGCGGGGGCATTTCAAGTGCCCTCTAAGTACTTTGATTTTTTTTTTTTTTTTTTAATCAAACTCCGGGAGGGCCGTAGCACATCCAGTGAGTGTCACAGGCACAAAATCGATTAGAAAGTCCAGCAAAGTGAGGAGCAAACAGCTTCCCTAGGGGTGTGCTTGCACCCCTGTGCCTGTCCCCTCCCTGTGCCAACCCCCATTTCAACAACGGCTCCCCTCGCCCCGCTCCAGCAGCGGCCTGTGGGGTGCAGCAGGTTTGCATCCCACCAGAGCCCTCGCTGGGAGGGGGTCCCAGCATCCCCCCCCCCCTCTAGTTTATCCCCAGGAGCTTGGAGCAGCCCCCTTCTCTACCTCTGACCATATGGATGGTGGAGGTGGCCATTCCTGCCCCGGCATGGTGCTGTCCCCCTCCATGGTCCCACGTTCCCTCCCTGTGCATCCCACCCTGCTCCATCCCGGCTCCCCTCCCGCACAGCCTGCGAGCCTTGTCCCTCCCTGCCAGGGGTTTTGTCGCTCCTGCGCTACATAAATAAATAACGTGTCCTTCGTTAGATGCCACTGCCTAATTAAAGCTGTACATCAGTGGAACAACTTGCAGATGCGGCATCCTCTGTCCAAGCTGGTTTCATCACTCCTTGTAGCTCTGCCTGCAGAAAAACCTTCCCCCAAATCCTCGGTCTCGTCTCCTTGTGATAGCATCTCTCTGGCGTCACTGCGAGAGCTTTCTGGCACGCTCCAGCTCCTTCCCACCCCTTTCTGCTAGCTTTCCAGCCCCAGCTCTACCCACTTTCTCCTGAACCACCACAGCGATGCTGGTGTAAAAGGAACCGGGTCCGTCACCTGCAAGTGTGATCCCCCAAAAAGCTGCATCGGCATCTGGGGTGCATTTTTTCAACCCCATCCAGAAAGAGCTCGGACATGATGAAGCCCAAGTGCTCAGCCGGGGTGAGGAGCAACCCTGGCCAGGGGATGGACTCGATGTGGGCTGGACGCTTTGAGGCGCTTGTTTTCTCCGCGGCAGCAAGTGCAGCAGCTCTTTTTAGCACAGGGGTGTTGTATGTCTTGAATAATTCACATAACAGAGGATGGTGCCCGTCAGGTGTTCGGTGGGAGCTGGGGGTGCTCAGCACCTGCAGGCACGTGAGGTTTTTCTGCCTGGGGTCAGGTTGCTGCAGCCAGGACAGGGGTACAGAGCTGGATCAGGCCCCCGGTGCTGAGCCCCTCAGGCTTGTGTCTGCTCCCTGCCACGGGGGATGCCGTGAGGCTTTGGGGGCAGCAGGACAGGCGGGATGGTGCATTCAGCGCCACGCTTCCCCACTTAGTGGGTAAATAACCTTCATGAAGCCAGGAAGGTGGAAATTGGCCAGGGGATGCTCTGATTAATCACCCGCTCCTGCCACTTCGTTTCCTTGTTCTTCACCGGATTTATTAAAACAAATCGCAGCTGCCTGGCTCCCCTGGGCTGCTCCGGCCCCACAGCCTCAGTCCCTGGGCACGGCACTGCTCAGCGAGGAGGAGTGGGAGGCTGAAGGCAGGAGGGGGATGGTGAGGAGCACGCCGAAGGGCAGCATCCACGGCTCTCTGCACCCTGGGCTTTGCTCTCGGCTGGGATGGGAGCCGGCTTTTTGGAAAAAGGGATGCAACCACCCTCTGGCAGCACTGGGATTTTCCGCTGGAGCTGCCTTCCTGGCATGGGAAGCTGGGTCCATGGGCAATTAAGAAGTTTTCTTTCTCATCCCTCATTTTACATCTGCCGCTGGCAGCCCTGGATGAGCCGGTTTGGTGTAAGCCTGTGCCAGGGCTGGCTGGGAGATCCTCCCGCAGCTGCCGTGCTCCCCGGTGCTTTATTTCTTGACAAGAGCCAGATTTATTGAAGGGGACCGAGCGGCCCGTGCCCTGCCAGTGTTAGCCCCAGCGTCGGAGCTGCCTGATTTACGTGCTTGGTTTAACAGGTCACAGCAAAGTAGCGGGCAGGTTGGGGAGTCCATGGATGTGTCCCCTCGAGCAGGGCTGTCGTGTGTCACCCCGGAGCGGCAGCCTTTCAGTGGCAGTGGGGCTGGGAAAGGGAGGGATTTATTATCAGCTCCGCGTCGTGTCGGTGCGTGGCGATGCCCGAGAGATTTGCCTGCCCTGGGCGGTAGGAGCAGTTCCCCCCATTTTCAGCCTGGGGAAACTGAGGCACGGAGACCTGGTAAGCAGCCCAGGGTCTGTGGGTGTGGGGTCTTTATCACTGCCTGAGGAGATGCCACGGGCTCAATCCTGTCTCGGCACTGGGTCTGATCCTGCAGCCCCAGGGAAGGGACAGAGGGATGGGGGCTGCAGCTTGCGCTGTTCCTGTGACAAGGTCTGACCATTCCCGCTCAGCCCCCTCACTCCTCCAGCCCCTGCGGTGCCTTAACGCTCTCCCTAATTAAAAGCTGCCGTCCAAATGGCTCGATGATGGAAATTCTAATTAAATCAATTCCATCTTGTCAGTGAACCAGAGGTTTGCATAAGATATGCATGAAATTGATAATTATGGTTGGGGAATTAGCTGCTCCTGACCCTGTTTCCAGCATGCGGGGGGGCTGGTGCCAGATCAGCGGGGCTGGTGCAGGAGCCCCTTCTCGTGGGGATGCTCCCGACCAGTGTACGTGGCTCTGGCTGTGCAATGTCCTGGTTTTTTTTTTTTTTTTTTTTCAGCTCTTTCCCTCCTGGCAGCTCAGACTGATGTTCAGATTGATGGTTTAAGCCTCAGTTGGGGCTGTGCTTAAATCACCGCCTTTGCCTAATTCTCCCCAATCTAGAGGGATTCTGTCCGCTGCTGGTAGAGAAAATGCTGCACCAGCTCGTAAGCTGACGTTAATGAAATGGGTACAAAATCCAAGTGCTTTTGCAGTGTATTTGAAGTTGATCACATCAGTCCATTGACCCAGGGGGCTGGGGGGGACCAGGATGACACTCACAATCCTGGCTCCTGCCTGCCCTGTCCCTGAGAGACATTTCTTCATGTTGGGGGTGCTTTGGGATGATGCTGACTCTGTTTTTTAGTTCAAAAAAAGGGAGGAAGGGGGTTTTGCCCCCTGCCCTGGGGTTACTCCCTGCTCTTGGTGGGACAAGGGAGCCTTGGGATGCAGGAGAGCTGGTTGCACTGATTTTCCCTCCCCCACCACTATTTATCCCAGGCTGGAGATGAGCTGGGCAAGGTGTCACCAGTGCCCAAATATGCAGCTGAGATATGTTTCCAGCTCCCGCTCCCCACCATATCCTTCTTTTTTTTTTCTAAGAACCTTGAATTCCCTGACTGCATTTTGCTTTTATGGACCTAAAAGGACTTTTGTCTTTCATCTGAGAAAATAGCTGGTGCCAGGAGTTGGGCTATTGTAGACCAGGAGATCAAAAAGGCAGAGGGGTAAAAAGGCAGAAGTCTATGAAACGGTCATTTGGGAACTGGTATTTTATTTTCACTTCCATCCAAGGCAGAGGAGTGAGAGAGAAAAGCTCTTTCCATTTGTTTATTAAAATACAGCTTCCAGCTTGTAACCGGTAGATCAACAGGTATTTTCTAGGCTTCATTTCCCAGCAGGGGTTGGAGCAACATGGGCAGCCCGGGTGTTAAACCCAGATGTGCCCCGGCAGCCTGAGCTCAGATGGGATATGCGGTAGCACAGGGAATAGCTGGGAAGTCTTTGTCACCAGTTCCCTGCTGAAAAGGCAGGGATCTGTTCAGAGTAAACCACTGTGCACAGAAAAAAAAAAAAAAAAAAAAATCAGTGGGAAAGCATCCTCGGGGAAGGCAGGGTTGCATCCCTGCCCTCAAATCTCCTTTGACGTGGGCACCGCTGCTTTCCGTGCCCACTTGCCCTCGTCGCAGGGGCACGCTGCGTGAGTCGCCTCCGTCCCGAGCCCCCGTGTCCGTCCTTCGGCCGGCACCGCTGCAGGCGAGGCGGGGAGGAGGCAGGGAGAGCAGCCCCCCGCCCTGTTCCTTCCCCGGGATGAATGATTGCCAGACGAGCACCTCGCCCGCTGAGCAGAATTTTAATCGAGTCTCATGCACCGGCTCCCGGTCACAGATACCCAAGGAGCAGATCACAGTCCCTCAGAAAGAAGCACAAAGATTGTCACAGGGAGTAATCCTATTTATGCCTTGATAAAGATTCCTTCCTTTCCCTCTCTCACTCCTTCTCCATCTCTCCCTTTTTTCATCTTGTATTTTGCAGGTAGGTAGAAGGGTGGCTGTTCCTTTCCAGGGGCCTTTTAGCATTCAGGTGGAGTCGTGGGTTATAACACCAGTATCGCATTTAATAGAGAAAGAGAGAGAGAAAGGGGAGTGGAAGAGGGGAAAATAACAGAGAAACAAAGGAGAAACTGTGAGATGCAGCCTGGGAGCAGGAGCGGCAGAGGGTGGAGTGGGTCGTGGGGCCTGGGAGGGTTGGGAGACCTCAGAGGGTCTGTGGGGTGGCTCCGGTGCAAGTCGCCCTGTCCTTGGGATGCTGCTACCCAGCCGGGCTCCCGGCAAGGTGGTTTGATCTTACAACATGAACTAGGATCCCCACAGACCCCAAACCTCTCCCTGTCCTCTCCAAGCCCACCCAGGTGCCTCTGCTGCTGGGAACGGGCTAATTGCTTAATGGGGAGAGGCCTGAGCTTATTTGGGCATCCAGCAGGACCCGGGTGCCTGCTGATCCCGGAGGATTACTGGGATCCGTTGCAGTCCTTTGTGGCTCTGGCAGCGTTTGTGCTGCTGCAAACTATGATCATTGAATTATTCCTGAACTGGATTAGAGGGAGCAGGGGAGGCAGAAAGTACTCTTAAGAGCTGGGGGTTGCTGCTCTGCTTGCCCCCGGGGTATGGGGTGGTTTGGGGTCGGCGCTGCCCTGGGCTTTTCCTCCTCCTTGTGCTCTGTCCTGGCAGTAAAGCAGCATCTGTGGGAAGCGAGAGGGTGGCCGGTGGCCAGACCCTTCCCTGGGCTGTGCCAGCTCCAGGTTGGGCTGTCACCAGCCCTGTAGCCACGGTGGGGCTGTGCTGTGGCAGCTGGCTGAGCTCCAGCCCCTCCGATTATATCGCTGCTAGATTTAAAACCTTGCCCAGGCTTTGGGCAGGGCTCTGCCAGCCCTTGCGATGTGCCAGGGAGGTGTCGGGCTGCTACTGGGCGAGGTGTGTGGTACCTGCCTGGGTGTGGGATGAGGAGATGATGGATGGGGTCGTCTGGGTGTTCTGTACATCTTTGGTAGGGAGTTACATGCTAGTGGGGAGAGCCTGGGCTTGATAATTTAATAAGCCTTTTCCATCTTTAAGATAAATTAACATCTGTGGTGTGTTTTGGAGATGTAAAGTGCTGTGTAAGTGTTAAGCATTGCATGATCCTCCGGTGCTAAATCATTCTAATGTACTGTGCGAGGTGCGGCAGCTCTGGTTAATTTAAAGGGCTAATTTATGGCTTGGATGGACAGGACCTGGTGGGGTGGGATCTGTCCTTCCTGGGGCAGGAAGCCAAAGGGAGACCTTAGCAGTGCTGTCCAGGGCAGAATTAAGGTTTTCTCTTTGGCCTTTCCAATGCCGGGCACATCTGATGCTTGGGAAACCCTTCTGGGGTCCTGCTGGGTGTCCCTGAGCCTCATGTGGTCCCCAAGCCCTGATGTCCCCAGGGGTTGAGCCAGCCTGCCCGGCCAAGGCTTGGTACCTGCTTCCCCTGGGGGGTGCTCGGCCCCCTTGGCCCAGGCAGCACCCAGAGGCACCCACAGCTCTCGTGCTGGCTGGCACCCGGGGAGCACAGAGGGGAGATCAAAGCAAGGCAGGTAGGCAGTCATGTTCCATGCAGAAATGGAAACTTGGGATGCTCTGAACCTCTCCCTGCAAAGCCCAGGGCTGCCTGACTCCTTGGTGGAGCTCAGAGGGACTTACTGGTGGCTGCTCTGCCCTGGGGCTGGGTTCTGTTCTTCCTCAGAAGATCCTGGAATTGTCCTGACCTGCTGGGCTCTGCCCAGCCAGGTGCTTCTGTGGGCAGCAGCAGCTTTGTGTTTTCTGCTGGCTTTTATTTCCCCCTCCCCAGACACTGGGCTGTGTGGGTTCAGACCAGACTGGAGAGCACAGAGGAGATATGTGTCTTGGTATGGATTGGGGTGTTTTGTGTTTCCTGTGCTCAGTTATGGATAGAAGTCTTCAGATCAAAGCCTTTAGGTTTCCACCAAGACCCAGTAGAGCTGATCACCCTCCACTTCTTGGTCTCCCTCCATAAGGTGCTGGTCCCTGGTGCTGTGAAGCATTCCGTGTCTGGTGGCATGTGCTCCCGCCTGACCCATGGTCTTCCTTGATTTCCACCTCTCTCCCCTCCAGAGCGGGGCTTTGGGAGCATGGGCAAGGCAAGGGCATCCCAGTGGGGTGGAGAACAGCTTTTTCTCCTGACGCTTTGTCTTTCTCCATCCCAGATTCCCCAGATCAGCTATGCCTCCACTGCACCAGACCTGAGCGACAACAGCCGCTACGACTTCTTCTCCCGCGTTGTCCCATCCGACACCTACCAGGCCCAAGCCATGGTGGACATTGTCAAAGCCCTCAAGTGGAACTACGTCTCCACCTTGGCCTCTGAGGGCAGCTATGGTGAAAGCGGTGTGGAGGCCTTCATCCAGAAGTCCAGGGAGGATGGTGAGTGGGTTTCTCCCGGGATGGGAGCTCGGTGTGGGCTTTGGAGCAGCTGGGGCTGGAGGAGAAAAGGCAACAGATGGGGATGAAGGGATGTGTCTGGTTGGGCTTCCTGACCTGAGCTGGGATGTGGTTATGGTGCCTGAGCAGGGGTGGGTGGCACGGTTTGGGGGGATGCAGTGTGGGTTTTGGGGGTGCCCTGCTGATTGCAAGGACAACGTGGTGGCCAGAAAGGATCAGGACCAGAAATCCCAACCTGCCTCTGCTCTGCAGGGCAGGCAGCTTTATTGCTGCCAGCTCCTTTTGGAAAGCATCTCGATATCCCCTTCCCTGCTCACCAGGAGACCTCAGATCTGCTGAGCTGGTCTAGCCCCCTCCCTCTGTGGCCGAGCCATGGCGCTGGGCGCATTCCAGAAGAAAAGGCTTTTACAAATACTCTCAGGTTTTAACAGAAAATAAAGTTGGCACCAACGCATGCTTTGCCCAATTTTAGTGGAATTATCCCCGAGGGCAGGTGCTTTAACTTGTCTATAGGCTTTGGACAGGTGGAAAGTCTGTGCTCAGCAAAACTCTTTGGGAGGATTTGTCTGGAGCCAGAAAGCGTTTTGCTGACGGGAGCGCTGGGGTGCTTAGAGAGGATTAGCAGCCTCGGGAGCGGCGGAGGAGCTCGTAGGTACCCGCTGGTGGCCGAGCATCAGCCCCAGCACCGTCGTGGGTGTCCCAGCACTGTTGCTGTCGTGGGTGCTATTACCATAGGCCCGGAGTCACCCGTGGAGGGACTGGCACAGCACCAGGGTCCCTCCTGGCTCTGGCATCACTTCGTCTCTGCAGCATCGCCTGCACGGGGCGAGACGGGAGCTAAAGAGTGTTTTCCGAGGCAGTTAAAACCCTGCAGCGCACAGGCTGCTGCCTATTACTGGCTTAACTGTATCTGAATGGCACATTAAGTTCTGGCAAAATCGGTGGGACACCAGCCTATCTGGAGCTAGTCAAACTGTGTTATGGCCTTATAAATGGATAAAGGGAATAAAAACTTCTAGGTGACGAGCTCCTAATCAAAGCCCTATAAATAGGAACAGCGTTAATTCTGTCTCGCGCGCGCGCCCTGGCACTGGGAACCGGCTGTGCTTTTAATATGCAGAGAAACCCATCTGGGGATTCAACCTGGAAACTGCTCTTCAGGATTTTAACTTGAAAAGCAAAATATTTTCACGGGGCTGCGGTTCTGCAAGGAGGAGGGTGTAGGGATGCTTCAGAGTAGGCGGGTGCGGTGCTCGTTGTACGGCCGGGTGTGGGGGGGGGGCTGCCTGTGTGCCCCGTGATGGGGGTGTGGGTGCCAGGGGAACTGGGGTGCCTGAGCTGAGCTGGGGTTGTGGCTGCACCCAGCCGGCTGTGACGGCGAGTTGCTGAGGGGGGGGATCCCTGGATTTGCAGATGCAAAGGTGCCGTTGGGTGTGTGTGGTGGCCGGCAGGTCTGGGGGAGCTGGAGGGGGGTGCCCCGAGGGTTGGAAAGGCTGCGGGGCTGCAAGCAAAAGGCTGCAGCTGTGGCTCTGCTACCAGCTTGGCTGCAAGCCCTGCTGGGGTTTGTAAATGCTAACAGCAGCCCCCCCTGGCTAGTGATGATGACGAGATTCTCGTCTGACGACAGGAGGAATAAGGGAAAGCAGCTTCTTGTGGCGGAGGAGGAGGCATTTTTCCACCCCGAGAAGGGAGTTTCCTCGCCCTCCCTGGGCGGTGAGATCCTGCCCCGTGGGTGCCCAGGGCAGGGCTGATGGGACCGCTGGGTGACACTGGGAGGTGACAGTAATATCAGGTTAAGGAGCTTCGTTAGCCCATGCCTGGCCCTGTTGTGCCCTTATCCCGCAGCAAGCAGGGCTGGAGGATGCTCTGCTGCCCCATCCGTGGCCGCTGCTCCCCGGGGGGGTCGGGGTGCAGGCTGCACGTGGCCGGGAGGAGCAGGTTGATGCACAGGCACGATTTGAGCCCACGCTCCTCCTCCACGAAGAACCAGTAAGGAGCAGTTGTCATGACTGGTGGTCCCACTGCAGCACAGGCACTTCTTCCTGGAGATACCTGTGGTTACCGCGAATTCCTATAACCAGATGGTTAATGATATGACAGTGTAATTGCAGAGTAAACGAGTGTACATGGAGTTGAAATGCACGCGTATTAATCCAGGGCTGAGGCAGTCCTGTAATTTGTGTATCCACATAACCCAACGATTATGTGCATTAGTGATAATTTAGTTATCAAAAAGCATAATTCCACTGTAATTGCAGTATAACAGCGGCGTAAGTGCAGCCCGTGCATTATCAGCAGTAACGCTGCTTCCCTGCTCGCGCTGCAGGAATACGTTTATTTACAAGAACCATCGTATATCAGCCTGAGCGCGGGGCCCTGGGGGAGCAGCTCTCCTTTGGGTGCTTGGGGGGGCTCTGAGCTGCTCCCCAAAGCATCTCCCCTGGGGAGGAGTGCCAGGGGTTAGCCTCACTGCTTTGCCCATGGAAGAGAGCTCCACAGTTGGGAATAATGGTGAGGTTGGACCAAGAACATGCTTTTTCTTTTTTTTTTTTTTCTTTTTTTTAAAAATTTTTTATTATTATTATTTTTTCTTTATATTTTTTTTATTTTGAAAATCCCCCAGCCTTGCCCTCTGTGGCGGCGACTGCAAGGCAGGAGGAAGAGCTGAGCTTTGCCTGCTTCACCTCTCTGTCTTCGCCCACAAAAGCAGCTCTGCTGACACCAAATATCTTTACACCAGTTCTAAGCCACTGGGAATGGGCGAAGGATCCATCTGCTCTTTTATAGCCTGTTTGTATATGCCTGGCTCTCATTTGCACTTCAGCAGCGTAAAGGGTCCTGCGATTTATTGCTGCTTCAAGGTGCCTCCAGCTTGTCAAAGTGATGTAAAAGGGCTCATGGTTGACTGAGGATCTGGCCTCTGCCAAGGGCTTGCCGGCAGTTTGTCGAGTGACGGAGTTTACCCGTGTCGGGGTATTTATGCCGGGGTCCCTGGGGGTCGGAGAGTGGCAGGGGCAGCACTGGCTCTGCTCGGGGAGCTTCTCACCCGACCCCGGCATCAGGGTGAGCATCTCCCCTCTCTCCTCCTGAACAGTGCTCCGCTTCATTTTTCATGCCAAGCCTGAGTCTTCAGAGTCGTTTTTTATTTCCATCAGGCAATAATGCTCATTGCTGTAGTTAGCAGTTAGCATTCAAGCTGTTTGCTTTCTGATGCATTATCAACTTGACCTTCAGTTTCAATTTTTAGCAAAGCCTCACGTTAAAGCCTTTGCCATCGCAATGGAAAGCATTTCTGCTCAAGGCACAAACCGTCCCCCTCTGCCAGGGCGGGAGGAGAAACTCACCCTGGGGACAGATTATTTTTGCAGCCAGGGCTTGCCCTGGGCTACCAAGACAGACTGACCTGGGTGGGCCATTTTATCTTATATATTGCAATTACTCTGGCAATTATGCTGTTGGCCCCTGGTGGTTGCACCAATGGCTGGATAGTCCTTATTCACTGGAGTGCTACCATTGCAGAGACGTTATGTCTGCAAAGAATGAATTTTCTCTGGCTGTTTTTAAATGTTTTAAGTACTCCCCCAAAGCATCCTGCAAACGCAGGAGTCAGCTGTATTTACACCTTGGCACCAAGGTGCAAGGCAGGGCCAGCAGCAGGGTGTGCCCAGTGTCCCCATCTCCTCTTGTAAAGCATCTCCCCCTCACCCTGATCTGTGTCATCGTTTTGGTGGATGGACAGACCCATCCGTAGTCCTTTGGCTCTGCATGCGTTGACAACTCTGCTGTCACCGAGCTCTTGGAGATGAAGTATTAGATTTATGTTTATGTAATTTAGCTGGTGAGCACGGCATGTTATGCCATGCGTCGTAATGTGCAGCGCTCGGTTTTGTGAAGAGGGTAATATTTCCAGCCAAACGCAAGACTCCTTAGTCATGTGTCTGGATCAATTTTACACTGTCATTTCCCCCCTCTATTGTTTTATCCTTCGCTGAGTTTTCTATATTTTTAGTTAAGAGGCTGATATATATTTGTGATGCATTTGTTCATCCCCATGTGACATTCATAGCTGTCTCTTTCTGGTTTTAGCCGGGTTCATTACTTTTGGTTGGTGCATCAGGATGTCACCCCCAAAAAGCTGCTCCCGACTCTTAAGGCATAAGCAAGCATCAAATATGGCTTTATGGCAGTTCTGGAGGTTGCTAATCCTGATTATTTGCCACCCTTGAGGAGTGCCATTGTTCTGGGTCCCATGGATGCCATTTCCATGGGATGGCTGGGAGGATGATGCTGGTGGGTACCTGCCCCTGGAGTTCCCCACCCCCCCCAGCTCACAAGTGACCTTCATCCTCGTGGCTGCGAGGTGTGATGAGCAGTAGGGCAGAGCAGGGCTGGCGATCCACCTCCCTTTCATCCCCGAGGACAGCTGTTCTTGTGCAGTCAGCACTCAAGTACTGCGGCTCACCGGAGGGCTGTTATTTGCTGCCGACGTCTCGGCTCCCCAGCCAAATCCTCCCATTCAGCAGCCAGCAAAAAGCTGGATATTTTTTTGTGGCACAATGCCGAGAGTCTGAAGGGTCCCTCCTCTGAGGGAAGGCTGGGGTTTGGGTGAATCTTTTCCTGCAGGTGTTTTCTGGCTGATAACACCAAGGGTGGTGGCATCTCTGTCCCCTCCAGGGCTCAAGCGGTGCACCTCTGAGAGGTCCTTTCACAACGTGGCTCAGGAAGGGTCCCTGGCACCCACGGGCCAAAATCATGGTTATACCCATCCCCTGAGTTTCCTGTGCTGGTCTCTATTGTCCCAATATTACCCTCAGCTCTTGTTGGATGCGGCACCTCTTCATGCTGGACGGGGCAGCTGGAGGGACAGGTCTGGTCACCGAGGCTCTGCTGCCATCACCACTTTGGGTCCTGAAACTCTTGCAGCTTCCTCGGAGGAAGAAACCACTTTTCCTGGGTTGTTTTCCTATTTCTTTCCCCCCACT